AGGGTGCTGTGTGACATTCGGTCTGCATGCAGCGTCACACACACAGGAGACAGGAGACATTGATATGATTGACAGAAAATATAATAACGCCCTCCATTAGCCCTCCTTAGCATATGGACTCGCTCACGGCAGCGCAGGATTGCGGGCAGGCGACAGTGGGCGGCCAGAAGGCACTGGAGGAGGCGGTGGAGGACTCTGCAATAGCGAAAGGCAGGAGAGGCAGGACGGGTGGAAGGGGGGCAAGTAAACCTGCGGTGTATGTTGCATGTGTGGTAGATGCGGTGCTGGCCTGGTGGTAAAACCGTAGAGGGACAGCGGAAACACCTGCTGCTGCTGCTGCTGCTGCTGCTGGCCGGGATAATGTACGTATGGGCGCCCTGCTGGTGGTGATACGTTCCACATTCAATAATGTACGGCGGCCGCCGTACATTACCCGCGGGTAGGTTGGACCATCAATACTGCTGGGACAGTTCTTTATGTAGTGTGGTGTGGTGTAGTGTGGTGTGGTGTAGTGTGGTGTAGTGTAGTGTGGTGTAGTGTGGTGTGGTGTGGTGTGGTGTGGTGTGGTGTGGTGCACTGTAGCATAGCAACCATAGCTCGCCGCCGCCACGGTCGATCAGACCGTTGCAAAGGATGGTGGGCATACATACATACATACATACATGCGTTCGCATGCACCGGAAAAACACCTTGGTTAGCGGCGTGAGCTTGTAGGCAGCAGCAGGCTCCCCCCATCGCACGCAGATTTGGAGCCGGGTTGTGTTGGGGAGCCGAGACACCGGCGGGGTGTTGGATGGTTCAGAGGGCTCTGCTACCAGCAAGCAGCTGCGGCACCGCAGCTGCCGCCAGCTGCAGCGGCAGCAGGCGGCTGCCGCCTGCCTGAACCGGTTCAGGCAGGCTGCCGGCAACGCCACACACATCGGCGGCAGCAGCAGCAGCAGCAACTGCAAGGGGTCGCCTCTTCACCTTGGCCGCCATTCGTGGCGCCCTGTTGGGAATGTGCCTCACCCCTCGCTCGCATTTAATGACTTCAAAATCTGTTAAATGACTTCCCGCAGGAAGCCTGTTTCAAAGCCACAGCATCTCTTCTTCCCTGCTGTCCGCTATAAAATCCAACGGCAGCGGCAGCAGCAGAGCCGCCTAGCGGCCCAGTCAGATAGCCTACGTTACTTCCAACAGACGGTACGTGCTGAAATATGATGTACCGTAGCATGCCTGGTCCAGGATAAAGGCAGTAGGGGGACTTTGGAGCTTGCCCGGCAACGTCTGGCTGAGATGCACCTTTTTATTTGCCTGCTGTCGATCCAGTCCACCCTTTCAGGTCTTCCCGCCAGAGCATACAGGAGTAAATGCATGCGTGGCGCAGTTATGCGGTTTTAACCGGCGAAGCAAGTTGTCCATACCATCGTTGTACGGCGTTGTTTGGTGCGTTACGGCAGTGTTGTACATCCTGTTGGTGGAGCATTGAGACCACCTTACTGTGTTGTTTGCCGTGCGGGAACAACTCAACAGGTCCCGGGCTTCGGGGCATTCCTGTGTTACACCGCTTGTGTGCCCGCAGGCTCATCAGAACGAGCTTTAGGCTACATTTAGGCTAGTTGTTGTTAGTTGTTCATTAGGCTGCTTGACCTTGTCCTTGTCCTGACAACCTTAGCGTGTAACATTCGAACTGCAGAGCATGGCGTCAGGGAGTTAACAGGTTACTTCAAGAAAACCTCGTCGTAAGGATTGAATAAAATTTCCAAAACGAATTCTATTGCGCTTTTCGGATACAATATGCATGTGCTCTTAATGGGATACTTGCGTTGTACACCCCCCCTTTTTGCAAGGCCGTAATTTCGCCTGTGCGGCTGCGTTAAACCATAATGTCGCCATCCTAAATTCTGCGCGTTAGGGAGATGTATCTATTTTACCTACATAAGGCTGTACGCGCGATTGTACCTTGTACCCGTCCGCGGGTTACTCCTTTGTCACCGATGACAATCCGTATATACTAGAACCGGTATAGTCTTTGGCCGCCCTTCCGCCTTGCCAAATGGGCGGATTTTTATTCCTTAACACAACTCGAGAGCTTCCGGATTACCAACATTTAAGCTACGAGTTTTCCGAGGTTGTACCTATTCGTTCTCCTTGCGCGGAAACTTTGTGCTTATCAGAACAACAAAACTCATTCTCGCCAAAGGATGTCTGAAAGGGCACGAAACGGCTCTGTGGACCGCGCCGTTGGAGCGCCTGAACGAGCTGTTGCGATTGCTGTTGACGGGGATGACAGCAGTGTCGACGAGCATGTTCACTACTCTCATCGCGCACCGTGGCTCAGAGCGTTTGTGTTGGGCGCAAACGATGGCCTGGTAAGCCCCGGTCTCGTCGGCAACGACTCACATCGGAAAGGGAGACTCTTCATCCAAGAGGAGGCTCCCTCGTTTTTGAAATGGCCTTTGGGTTCTTCTTACTTCCATAAATGATGTAAAGTCTCCGGCGGCAGGGGCCACACCGGCTGGATGCGTTCTTTACATCTTTGCGCTTGGGCAACTCGGGGGCGCTACCTCTAGGGCCACGCCGTACACGATAGCGGCAGATAGAGTGTTTTCCGTCTGCCTCTATCTCTTGTTGTACCAGGTCAATCACATGGGCTCGGGGAAGAAGGTCTCCCTAGTCTGTTGCCGGGAAAGCGAGTTTTTGGAACACCCTTTCCCTTGGTTTGGCAGCATCCAATCCGTACATGCACTCGTACTCTCCACGACCGTCCACGGTTCCGCAGGTGAGCGTTGCGGCTCTGATGCTTGGTGTCGGAGGTGGAAGCGCTGAGCTGGCAACGATGCGGTTGGCAGGTGCGGTTGGCAGTTAGCAGAACAAATGGTACAAGTTACATGTTACAAGTTCCGCACGAGTGCGGGCCCGGGGGCCATGGACCACATATATTGAAAGTTGATTACACCGTACAACCGACGGCGGTTTTGGTCCTGCCAACTAGACCCCTCCTCATCCAGTCACCCGACATCCGTAGAGACAGGCCAGCCATCACCACTAATCCAGCATGCGAAACTAGTCCTCAGTATGCGTAAACCTAATACTCCCGATCAATGGATCTGCCCAGGATCGAACCCATGACCTTCATCAGCTAATTGCAGTGGTGTCACCAGACCAGACCAAAAACTTGCGGCGCTAATCCCTAAGTAAAATGCGAATTGCTAGGATCGAACTAGCGACCTCTAGATCTTCAGTCTAGCGCTCTCCCAACTGAGCTAAATCCGCGGAGCAAATGTCTGGTGTACTTCTTGCACAGAAGCACTTCCCTCAGGCCCTACAAGGCACCTGCGTGGATGTACCCTTTGACGCCCAATCAATTAACCAGTCCAGGAAGAAGAAGCAGGGAGCACAGAAGCTTGTGCACGCATCTAGATGGAATTGGGAGCGGTGGCGCTCCCAATGGCCGAATTGGGTTTCCGCTGGTTGTCAATATTGGCTGTTGCCAGTTGGAAACCCTCCCCTTACCCCCCTCCCCGCCGTCTTAACCCCTCCCCTCCCGCCCTGCTTACGGACGGCCCCTCTTGCACCCCGTGTGTTTTCTCTGATCATCATCATCGTCATCACCATCATCACCATCATCATCATCATCATCATCATCATCGTCATCATCGTCATCATCATCATCATCATCATCATCGTCAGGGGTGGCGGCGTGGATCGCGGGGGCACTGAGCATGGCGGCGGGGGAGTACATCTCTGTAGCATCGCAGGTACGGAAGATTATTTATGCCGTACGCATTGTCATAGTTTACCCAACATTGTCGCCTCAACGACCGCCCGGATGCATATTTCCCCCCAAAGTCTTTTTTTGTATTTCACAGTGGTGGCTTGCTTCCCCCTGAGGCCTAACTCTATGTCATACACCGCTGTAACACCACTACATGTATGTATGTCCATGTCACCCCTTAGCGCGACACGGAGGAGGCGGATGTGGAGAAGGAGCGGCAGCAGCAGCTCAAGGGTCCTGCAGCTCGGGCCAGAGAGCTCGAGGTGGGTCCTCGTGGCAGAGGCGGTTGTTGGGTGGGGGGGAGAAGGGAAAAGGTGGGGAGCAGGGAGCGAGTTAGGGTTTCGCGAGAGCAAAGCGAGGAACGGAATGAAGCTCATCGGAGTCCGCGGATGAACGAAAGGACAGAAGTACGAGTATGGGGGCGTGAGTGAGCCTGCGGTGAGCTCCTTAGCCACTCGCGGGCGCCAACGTTTCTGAAATAATTCTTGGCATTCGGTATTCCTTTCCCCCCACACACACACACATGCGAAGCTTGCGCTCCACCACTGAGCAAATGCCCCTCCCTTGCGCATATCGGTGACCACCCAGCTTATCCTGCAGCCTCTGCCCGACCGCCGGCGCCCCCCGAGGCGCGATGGATGGATGGGTGGATGGATGGATGGGTGGATGGATGGATGGGACCCCTCTTCGCCTAGATAGGGGTCTAGTAGCCCAAAAAACAGACGGTGTTTGGAGAAGTGCAGTGCCATTAGCAGTCTGTTTAGATACGGCAGGGAGGGAAGGCTAAGGTGGTACCTGGGCTGCGCTTGGTTGGGGTGCGTACAATTGCTTAAATCAGGACACCAGCTGCCCTAGTGTTCCTCGGCCATCCCGCCATGTACGGCGACCCCTTCAAAGCAAACTGTGGCCATCCCCCCCCCGCCCGCGTATGTCTTTGTAGTAACTGGCCACCGATAAGGAAGGCCTCACGAGATGCCTAAAACACACATGTATTCTAGCACGTGTATTGATGGTATGGGTGTCACAGGGTACAACACAAATCCTACGCTTCCTGCTCTCTGATGGAGTCAGTCTCGCACCCTCCCTAGTGCCGGTCACACCACACCAGCTACTGCCCAGACAGTCCTGGTTTTTGAGCAGAGGAGTGGCAGTGGAGATCATGTCACATCGTCAGTGCCCCATCACATGAATTGCGCCTTCTCTTTAGAAAGTAACCACATCCTCGATTCTCCAGAGCAACCCTCGTTACATACGAGGGCGGTGCAAAATTTAAAACAGGCAATTCTGAAGTGGACATGGTCTCGGTTGGACAGGACCTGTCGCTAACGCACATATATGTGTTTTATTAATGCGTACAGTATCGTATTGTACGCCAGCTGCGACGATAAACAATCGCCTGTATCCGCTCGGAGTTCGTAAGTGTGTATGTGTGTACGGCGCTACCAAACGTCAACTAGTCCTGCCTGCTGTGTCATGGTCAGTAGCCATGTATGTCATGAAGCGGATAATGGCTGATCGGGGCGCCGTTTGGGGCCCAGGAGTGGAATAGGAATGTTCCACTTCATGGGGAGCTTCCACTCCTGGGAGGGGGGAGGGAAGAGGGCTGAAGAGGGTCGCATGTCATCAACACACCACCGCGTGAACCATCGAGCACACACCCATCCGCATATGTGTAGGAGAATTTTTGGATACATGAAGTGCAGAAATTTTTGTAGACCAAGTTTTCCGTTGCGCCCGACCCGTGGGTGCCGGACAGCGTTGAATACAATACCACAGAAAGCTCTTTGGGAGCTCGCAAACGTTTTTGTATCACTATATTTGTGATGTTATATTTTTAAATATTTTACTTTTGTTGCACATAACCATATTTTTGAATAAACAAATGAGGTTCATACATTGCTAGTTAAATCTAAGTATATCGAGCCCTATCCGGGTTGGAAATCCTTCCGTGGTGGAAGGTAAAAGTGCCCCTAGTTGATGGACGGTGGTGACCTGGGATAAAGTTGATTTGCGATCTGACCAGGAATGGAGTTGGGTCGCCGTTGATCCGGCAGATTCCGTTGGATGCCGGTGGTGGGTGCGGAACCTGAGCGATCCACTGAGAACTTGACTAGGGTGACTGGATGAGGGTGCCCCGAAATACCGGGGAAGGCAGGGTTTCGGAGGGTAGCTGCCACGGGTGAAGATATACCCCCCTGTCCCGCACACCATATACACCATGCGTATGGGTGTGAGCTCGATGCGTATAACGTGCGTGCTAACAGTCAGCGGTGTCGATCTGTGTGCCGATGGTTGTCGTGTCTGTTCAGGAGTTGACGGAGATCTACGTGAAGAGAGGTCTGAGTCGCGGTCTGGCTCGCGAAGTGGCGACAGAGCTGACGGAAAAGGTGAGATAAGGCTGTTGGCTCTGTTTCTGTGCTTCTCTGTTTCTACCTTGCAGCGCACCCACCCACCCACCCACCCACCCCATTAAGTGATAGTGCCGGGTGGTGTTCATCTGACTGCCGCTTGACATCTCCTCCCCTCCCCCTCCACCTCCCCCTTTAGTTCTTCCCGTAAAGGGGAACTTTGGAGTCCCCTAAAGGGGAAGAAGAAGAGACTTCCCATCCACCTCCCCCTCCACCTCCCCCTCCACCTCCACCTCCACCTCCACCTCCACCTCCACCTCCACCACGCGCCCCCGCAGGACGTCATCCGGGCCCACGCACGTGACGAGTTAGGAATCGATCTGGACGCGATGGCGAACCCGCTTCAGGCCGCTGTGGTGTCGTCCATCGCCTTCACAGCAGGTAGACGCGTACGAATAGCATGTATGTATGTCGCACGCTGGTGCACGTGTCGTTCACTTAGGGTTTTGGGGAGTATTTGTTCGGGGGGGGGGACTCATATCCGCCGGACTCTTATCCGCGGTGTGTATCACTGTGGTACCACACGGTGATCACTTTCGGGTTTGATGAACTGAAATCCAAAACCAATGGATGATGAGTAACCAGGAAGCAGTAATGCTTCCAACATCGATAACCCACCCACCCGTCACGCTCCTTCACGCCCCTTCACGCTCCTTCACGCCCTTCACGCCCCTTCACGCTCCTTCATCCAACATCAGGTGCCATGATCCCCTTGCTAGCGGGCTCCTTCGCCACGCACCGCGTCACCCGGCTGGTGCTGGTTTCGGTGCTATCCGTTGCGGGGCTGGCGATCTTCGGGCTCACGGGTTCCTTGCTGGGCGGCGCCAAGCCGCTGGTGGGAGCGCTGAGGGTGAGAGGCAAGGGGAAGGAGAAGGAGGAGAGGGAGAGGGGGAAGGGGGTTATTTCCTGTTGTTGTTCCTGTTGCCACAAAAGGACGGGTGGGTTGCGGACTGCTGATTGGGTCACACAGCGGCCGCTGCGGCATCAGCCAGGCCATGGCCGGGTAGTGCCCCCGGGATACCACCGCCGGGGTACCCGCGGGGGGGGGGAAAGCCGTATACCTGGGTGGAAACAAGGAGTGAACTGCCGGTAAGCATCCAAAGTAAAGTAAGGGTAGGGGGCGGGTGGGGGAGGGAGAGAGGCGGTGTCGTTCTGTTATGTTGGGGGTTGGCTAAGTGGGTTTGGTGGGTAGACGTGTGTACGGAGAGAAACATGTTCGTACGTTGTTGGCATGTTGGATGCAAAAAGAAAAAGGTGGAAGACCTTCAAATTTGGAGGTATTGGCCGCGAACAAGGTGCCCGCGGTGGAGTGGTGTTGCCTTGTCCGGGGTTGCGGAGGAGGCAATTCAAGATGTCTGTCTGTCTGTCCGTCTGTATTTATGTGCTGTTAAGGTCGAGACTGGCAGGTGCGGTGGACCGGGACAGCAACAACCCCACATTCCCGGGGAGGCAGCTTTTTCGGCTGCGTGGGACGTAGGCGCACGTGGGCACGTGGGCGGGACAACCTGACTTGACCCGACCCGTCAACACGACTCTCGGGCTGTGGGAGGGCGTCGACGTCTGCAAAGCTCGGCTTGATGGTTTAGTCCCCCGTTCCCATCCCGCGCCGCGTCCTGTTTTGTAGAACTTTGGCCCCTAAGATGCCTTGCGGTACGGTTATTATTTGTACGGCATTGCTCTCTTATGGTTCCGTCCTGTACGGCATGTATGCAGGTGGTGATTGGCGGCTGCTTAGCCATGGGTGTGACATTCGGTATCGGCAGGGTGCTGGGCGGCGGTGCGGCCATGGCGTGAGTCCAAGAAGCGTTAAGACCACGATGAAAACGGGCAACAACAGCAGGACGGCAGCATCAGTAAGGGAGTAAACTCAAGTGCCGTACATAAATGCCGTACATGGCTGCCGTACAGGCACATAATGCAGCAAAACATAGCCAGGGAAGGCATGAGAGAGAGGTCTGGAGTGCGACTGGAGGCAATGATGGCGGCCCCCCGAGGGCCCCTTGCTTTGGAAGAGTGATGTCGATTGGGGATGGAGGGGGCGGCGATGAAGCTCACTCATCTCCCCACCCCCTTGTACACACACGCGCACAACAGCCGGGGGACCGTGGCACACCGTTCTAACCAATCAATCCAAGAGCTAAAGAATGTGTCCAGGATGCACAGCATAATGCACACAAGCACCTCCATACAATTTTAAACTATGGCTCCATGCCCTAGCGAGTCTGCGCCTGAGATGCCGAACGTGAAGGAGAAGGGAGACACGCGGGCATGAAGAGTGCAGATGAGCCTTTTTCCACCGTCAATAAAGATATGTATATATTCTGCCGATATTGTTACGGGACGATACCTATTCCGCATCTGAAGTACGGCACAGCATGCGCACATGGGAATGACAATAATCAATGAGCATTTCGCATTTCGGTATCCTTTAAGATTTGTGGTGGGTGGGTTCCTCACGGTCACGGTCACGGTATTTGAAGGTGATTGACAAAGAGTTTATATCAGTCCCCGCGGAGTGTGTGCGGCTCTCTCTGTGCGTGGAGTGGTGGGGTGGTTGGGAGGGGGCCACTACCACTACCACTACCGGGTGTGTGTGTGAACGCAGTAGCAGCGCCGGGAGTTGTAGTGCGAGTGTGCGGCATGTGCGTCTGAATGTGCGTGTGGGGCAAGACGTATCCGCTATATCGGCTCCAGCTGTTGTTCGTACGAAATAAATGCACAGTGTACATTGTGCTGTGGGAAATGAAGTAATGAAACGTACTACGGAACGGAGGTGTGTGTGTGTATGAGAACAAGAAGTTGAGAGGCGCGTTTATTCCACGAGCAGCGAGCCACCTCACCTCACCTCACCTCGCATCACGTTGAAGTTGACGGCAGCTGGGACCTTGATTTGCTTCTGAGTTCCGTCCGCCCGCCATCGGGGGATATGTATGTATGTATATATATATATGTATATGTATGTATGTTGTTACAGGGTGGTTAACTTCGCCAGCGGCCCCCTTTCCCGGGGCAGTCCCTGCTCTCCCCTGCTAGAGGGGCACCCTAATCCGTCACCCCATCCGACTTCAGAATGTATTCGTTGGGTTCGGCAACTCACCACCAGCATCCAACCAAATCTAGCGGATCAACGGCGCATCAACTTAGTTCCTGGTCAGCTCGCAAGTTGATGTTATCACGTCCTACACCGTCCATATGATGGGGGGCCACCTCCCATTTCATCACTCCTCAAACACCCGAGGAGCTGGCAGGCGGATTTGAACCCGGGTCGACTGGATCGACTGGGAGCAGAAGTCAGGCCTTAACTTCTGCCAGCCGCCTGCCTATAAAAAGAAACTCATGCACCGGGATCGAGCCGGCGACCGCGGTTCCCACTCAGTGTCGGAGCTAGCGCACACCACAAGCGGTAAGCGCCGATGTATGTATGCTTGCTCGCTTTTGTCCGTCCCAACTGTGTGGCTTGCTCTGCACATCATGAACACATGGACTGAGATTCGCACCACGCTGGGGATGGGTGGCGGCTGCTGAACCCTCTGTCTCCACTACGGATGTTCGGGTGAGGAGGGATGAGGAGGAGGGATTCTATAGATGGCAGAATCAACCGCCTTGGACTTGCAGTCCGTATGGTGTAGTAACGGTGGACAGTGCTGTGTGTGTGTTCCCTGGGCCCAGAAGCCCACTCCCACTCTGTAGTAACAACACCAACACCAACAACGTGAACATGTACTCACAGTGGGTGGCCGGTTGGCTAGGGCGCAGTAGTGCAGTAGTGCTGGTGATGTTGATGCTCCGCCGCCTGCTGTGCCTGTGACGGCTGGCGGGGCTGTTGAGGGCTCGCTACTGTCTCGTAGGCTGAAACCCCGTGCTGTCGGACATCCGTTGCCGGGTGCAGGGGGCTGAGGGTTTCCCGCCCACGGGTATATAATCGTTGATCAGACAGTGGCTCGGCGAAGAGTTAAGTAGTGGTTGGCACACATCCCTGCTCTGAATGCCCTCATCTCGCGTGTCATGGGTCCAAATGAAGTTGATGGTTGGCACCATCCGTTGTTAGTTGACGATATTCGGTACGGCGGTACGGGGTTTCAGCAGTACAAGGAGGTTCACCTGCTCCTGGACTACGGCTATCGGCCCAGCCAGCTACTGGACGCACCGCTGCGTGCACCGGCTTGTCCCGGAGGCTCATCTCATCGTCTGAGGGGGGCGGAGGTCGCCGTGTATTTGGAAGTCGCCATGCCACTGAAGTGCGCAGGAGGTTGGGAGGAGGATGCGCATCGGTTTGTAAGGAGTTGTTTTTCCTAGCTAAGCTAAGCTAAGCGAATAGAGCTCCCGGCGGCATATTCGCGGCGGCATATTCACCTGGTGTGGCTTTTCACCGGGGTAGTTAGTAGCAGTAGTAGTAGTAGTAGTAGTATGGGGTTCATGTCTGTAATACTGACCTTGCATGTAGTGGTGGTCCAAAGTGGTTCAATCAGAGCAAGAGAGGAAATGGGGGAGTGATGGCAAGAGGGACGAACGGCCCAAATCTGGATTTGGATACGGCATTCAAAAGCCCCCCTCGCCCACAATATTTATAAAGATGAGCACGTGTGTGTTTGTGTGTGTACGTATGCAAGCTAGAGACCACCAACCCAAGGTAAACAGATCCAAAGGTAGACGCGGTTGATCAAGGACGCGTTCGTATGTATGTACGCCTGTAGGTGGACCCGCCATCGTCACCACCATCGTCATCATCGCTATCGTCATCATCGCCTCCTCACCAATTATGAACATAATTATCACCACCACCACCACCACCATCATCACCAGCACCACCATCATCACCAGCACCACCACCATCATCGCCACCACCCGGTACATACGGGCGTCCCATGCCCTTAGCTCCGTGCTTTTCGTTTATGCATGTATGTGTGTTGTACAAGAGCGCTCGCGCAAGTACCCTTGGGCATAAACGTATTCACACACCGGAATCCGCGAAGGACTGCGTTGTATCCGCCAATGTTGCGTGCGGCAGAAAGACCTTGCTTGTGCGGTCATATGTATGTATGTATGTATGTATATATGTTTGTACGTACCCGCGCGCACTGCAACCTGGTTCTGCCGCTACACTCCTGTCAGGTTCGTCATCACGACACACGGCGCCATAAAAACACACACACACACACATTCTACCGCACGTAGCCGATGCTGACTACGAAGCTCGCTTCAGTACGAACTTATCGTGTATTGCCATCACAGACATCGACAGGGGTATGCCGATGGGTTTATGGTACATCGGCATGGGGTTCCTTGAGTCCCGAGCGTCCAGCGACCACACCACGTCGAATGAGAACTCCACGACCACCACCATTCCGCCTCTCCCCCTCGTCCTGTGCCGCGTCCAGGTGCCCACCAGCAGCAGCAGCAGCAACCGCCGCCGCCGCCGCCGCCGCAGTACGCACATAAAAACGACCCACATTAAATCGCATTCCCTCCTTCAAAGGGGTTCCACACGCGTACCTCGATGCAGCGCATACAACAACAAAGCTACATACTTTTGAAGAATACATACATATCTACAAATTCATAAGGTTCAAGCATGATGGCGGCCAGCTGCTCATAATAATTTACACGGCTTCCACGCAGCTCAGCCATTGTCTTGAAATAGCGATAAATGATGCCATGCCCACAACGGCCAAGCCACCCCGTTGCGCGCTCATTGGTGCATATGTTTACATACATACACACATACTTAGAGGGTTTGGCACCACTGGTAAGGCGCGACCATTGCCCCCGGGAGATCCCGGGATCGATACCCGTTAGGGTCAAAGTCCTTCCGATGGTGGAAGGCATTGCGCCCCTAGTTGATGGACGGTGGTGACCTGGGATAAAGTTAACCTGCGAGCCGACCAGGAACGGAGTTGGGCCGCTGTCGACCCGGCAGATTCCGTTGGATGCTGGTGGTGGGTGCGGAACCTGAGCGATCCACTGAGAAGTTGACTAGGGTGACTGGATGAGGGTGCCCCGAAATACCGGGGAAGGCAGGGTTTCGCAGGGTAGCTGCCACGGGCGAAGATACACCCCCCTGTTTCACACATCATACACACATACATACATATAAGTCAGGCACCACTGGTAACGCACACACCGATGCCCCCGAAGATTCCGGGATCGAGATCTGTCAGGGTAGAAATGTCTTCCGATGGTGAGCCGCTGTCGATCCGGCAGATTCCGTTGGATGCTGGTGGTGGGTGCTGAACCTGAGTGATCCACTGAGAAGTTGACTAGGGTGACTGGATGAGGATGCCCCGAAATACCGGGGAAGGCAGGGTTTCGCAGGGTAGCTGCCACGGGCGAAGATACACCCCCCTGTTTCACACATACATACACACACAATAGTGCAAACACACAGACAATAGTGCAAACGCGAACCACCATATGAACAAGTTATTGTAAAACCTGGATAAGGTTGTTCACCGTCGCGCATGGCGCATAGATAGGCAACAGCCAGTTGGGAGCTAAGTGGCGGAATGAATACCCGGGTGCTGATGGACCGCATGCAAGTGAACCCGGCAGCAGCAGCTCCCCTCCCCTCCCCTCCCCTCATCCTGCTGCTGCTGCTGCTGCTGCTGCTGCTGTTCGTGACCCAAGTAATGGCGGCGCCGCAAGCACTGTAGCGACTAAACATGCATGATGATACAAATAACATGCGGCATGAAAAGCACTCGTAACATAACATTCGCAACGGCACCTGTGGGTTGCTACATGGTCGTCATCATTATCATAATTATCATCATCATCATACAGCAGCAAAACACCGCAATCGCAAGTATGTATGTATGTGTGTATGTACAGCAGGCAGCGGCTTCCCATGTATTCTCTCTACATAACGTACCGACCCAACCGCCAACCCCAACTGTTACCCGTCAGTCCCCCATTATTACTCCGCCCTGGCCATCAACCAATGGCCGTCATGATCCTCCACTGCTGCTACTGCTACTGCTGCTGTTGCCCATTAAGTGACATGGTGTACTTCTGGAACACATGTATGCGGAGCTCGTTAAAGCCCGTCAGAACAGACAATGATGCGTCTCCATATTTTTCATCCCTTTCGATCCACCCGGTGGGTGGATCAGCGGCGCCATTCACGTGCATTGATCAAGATGCATGATGGTGTTCTTTATTTCGCATTTGGCGTTTGGCGCGATGTCTCCGATGGCGGAAGGTGCAGGTGGGAGATGCGCAGCTATGCACACCAGGGCCCTAGGTGGTGGCGGCGGCGGCGGTCCCCAACCGGCGGCCGCAGCAAACCCCCACAGACGCAGGAAACCGCCGCCGCCGGTTGGGGACCTGAGACGTATAAAGCGCCACCGCCGCCACGACCAATCAACCCACACTCACACCGATCATCGCATTTTTTGCTGTGCATGGTGATGTGCTCAAAACGTCCCTTCCCACACCCAGGGGAGGCGGGGGGCCAGCTAACCCCCCTCTCATGAATTCGGAGGCCCATCCTCCCATCCTCTTCTCATCCTCTCCCCATCCTCCTCATCCAACGAAACGGAATGCCGTGAAAGACATGCTGTGAAGGTGGTCGGGGGGCCGGAGCTTCACAGAACCAGCAGCGAGCCTACGCTTTTACTGCTGCTGCTGCTGCGGCGGCGGCGGCTACTGCCGAGATTACAATGCTAATGCTAATGCCGTTTCTCTCTCGTTACCGTTGAATGAACCCACCACTGGTTTACGGGCTTCACGCCCCCATCGTCTGCCGCCCCCTCTAGCTAACCCTTCTTGCGAAGGTACGACGGATGCGTGATGACGTGTGCTGGTCGAGGAGCCGTCAGAAGCTCGCGAGTCGAATCATTTCCTGACGGGGCAGCATGGTGGACGGATGACACACACGTGCTGGGGGGGTAGTCTTCTTCTCAGTGCCTGATGATGCCGCTGAAGGTGAACCGCCTTTCGCCCCCTCCTCCCCCTCCCCCTCCTCCTCCCCCTCCTCCCGCGGGGGGACGTGTGGATTTCTCAGCGGAGCGCTTGCCACCGCGGCCACTAGGACCACCAGCTTGCACCACCACACGGGAGATACGGGAAACAGGAGGCACCCAAGCGCCGGCGGCGGGGGCGGGGGAGGCGGCAGTAGCAGCGGCAGCGGCAGCTGTCGAAGGCCGCACGTTATTCACTTGGGACGACGACGGCGGCTGCGGCCCGGAACGCGCTCCCCAAGCGGCCGGCGACATGCCGCCAGCACGGCCGCCGCCGCCGCCAGCAACCCCGGCGGTTGCGGCCGCCGCCGCCGGAGCGATGGAATCCACGACGTCCTTCTGCCGCAGCGCAGTGGCCACCACTGAGCTGACGTGGACCCTGGACACTGGGGAGCCGAGCGCCAGGGCGGTGGCGGCGGCGGCGGCGGGACCCACGTACCTGGGTGAACCCGTCACCCCGTTTACCTGGCGGGGGGGGGAAGGAGGGAACAAGGGGCCCCCGGTTGGGTGTAAACACAGGTGCAGGACATACACACGCACATACACACACACGCCGGTGGGAACCCGACCGGGGCCGGTTTCCATCAAGTACCGCCGCCATGTGGTGTATTCACGTGCGTGTGCAACCTGTCTGGAGATGGATGATATCCCCTCTCGCTTTATGTACTCCACCTCTCTCACCTCCAACGACACAGGCCCCAGCTCCACTCCAGCTCGCAGCCGGGGTCCGCGGCACACCAGGGCGTCCAACAGCTGCGGAGGCAGCCCCTCCGGACGCAGAGCGATGTCATCCAGCGATGCCTCCCGGGAACAAGACGCCGCGCGGCGCAACCGGGAGATGTACGACGCCATCACGGCAGCAGCGGCGGCGGTAGCTGCCGCCGTATCTGGCGCCGTGTCCGCAGCTTCCCCTGTTTGCCCCCACGGAGGGCCCGCAGCGCCGCCGCCGCCGCCGCCGCCGCTGGCCTCGGAGCTTGCTTGGTGCAAGGTTGCCCGGCACCTCGCCAATGTGAACGACAGCGAACATGCCGATCCCGTACAGCTGCCGTTCTGTCTACCACCTCCGCCAGCACCGATTTTAGGACGCGACGGGGGCCTCTGCTGCTGCTGCTCTTCATGCACCGCTGCACTCGTCGCATCAATGGCTTGAGAATGAGGGGGAGAGAGAGGGGGAGAGGGAGGGGGAGAGGGAGGGGGAGCACCGGTCTGACCATCCCCCGGATCGGACTCCAGGGCTGCTGCCGTCGCCACCGGGGGGGGCCGAGAAAGCCGTTGTGTCCGCGGCGACGGCTGCTTAGGCGGCCGCGGCGGCAGCTGCCCCGGGGAGGCGGTAGCTGGCGATACGGGAGTCACTGCCGCTGCCGCTGCTGCAGCACCTGCCGCCCGCAGAGAATCCGCTGCCGCACCCGTCATCATCGCTGCAGCCAACAATCCGATGCCGCCACCGCCGCCGCCGCCGCCACCGCCGCTGCCGCTGCTACAGCAGCAAGATGCCGGTTCCGTCGCCATCAGCCTGCGCCTTCCAGGACCTTCCGCAACGCAGCCGCTCCTCGCGTCCAGCCCCCGGTCCGGGTCCGGGTCCAGGTCCGGGTCCGGGATAGCGGTGACATCCTCGGGCATCTCGCTGATATCGCTGGCGACTTCAACCACTGAATGACCGAAGCTCAGAATGTCGCCCCATTCTGCACCGCCACCTCCGCCATCGCCACCGCCGCCACCACCGCCACCGCCACCGCCGCCATCGCCACCGCCGCCACCACCGCCACCGCCACCGCCGCCATCGCCACCGCCGCCACCACCGCCACCGCCACCGCCGCCATCGCCACCGCCGCCACCACCGCCACCGCCGCCATCGCCACCTCCGCCACCGCCACCGCCGCCATCGCCACCTCCGCCACCGCCACCGCCGCCACCGCCGCCGCCGCCGCCGCCGCAACATCCATGGGCGCCTGTACCGCCAGCACCTGCACGCACGGCGGCGGCGGCGCTGGCGGTGCGGATGCTTGTGGGCAACCTCCGCAGCCCAGGGCAGGTTCGTAAAAGTGGCAGGGCGTTCGTCCTTCTCCCCCTCTTCCACTTCCGCTGCCGCCGCCGTTTCTGCGACCTCCGCTGCGGCTGCATCCATCCGACCACCTTCAAGGCCGATACGTGGCCGCGTCGTGGCCGCCTCCTGCTCCCCCTGCGCCGCCTCCCCCTCGCCAAGCAACTCCGAGATCCCCAAGCTCCCCTCCTCCTGCCCAGGCATGCACACCCATCGGGACGTGGAAAGGAACATGAACATGAACGTGAACACGCACGTACAAGGAAACATACGCAGGATGTTAGGGCTCAGCGAGGAAGTAAAGTTGGGGCGGGGGGGAAGGGGGGAGGAAAGGGTTGGGGGAATAGGGGGAAGGAAGGAAGAGAAGAACGAACGCGGTAAGCAGCGGACAGATACACACACACATATACACACACAAACACACACGCTAACACACACGCTAACACACATGGTTACTCGCACATACACCTCCTCTAATCCCATAACAACTTCATTCGGATTTCAATCATTAAGCCTTCATACGACCATTCTACAGATACGCACCATCATGGCCATCACGACACCACCGGGAACACACCACACAACAGATCAATACCACCGCACAGCACTCCAAAGGCAGCCACATCAGCAGATCTCTCTGCGGACCCCTTAACGGACACCCCTACAGCCCCGCCGCCCCACAGGGCCAACGCACACGCACCTGCAGCTCCAAGCGCGGCACGTCATCATCAACAGAGGCCAGCCAACCCCTGCGCCCAACTGCAGCCCCAACCCCGACACACACACCGGCCGGTCTCAGGGCCTCAGGCGGGCTTTGAGACAGGCGGGAATAGTGCTGCGTCTGTTGCTGCTGCTGCTGCTGATGATGATGATGATGATGCCCACGACCACGACCACGAGCCAGAGTGGCGGCAGGGACCCCGGAGTGGAGCTGCGCCCCGGCGGCGCTCCATTCCGGGGTCCCTGCCGCTACCGGCGGCTTCATCTGGAAGTAAGAGTACGGCAGCCGCCGTCCGCCGCCGCTGCCGCCGATACCTCCTCTTCCGGGCGCCGGTCCAGCTCCGATTTCAGCGACAGCCGACTCATCCACAAAATCATAAGCGCAGCAGCTGGCGGCGCCGGAGGATGACGGTACGGCGCTAACCCAGCGGTTCACCACGTGCGCTAGCCGCCGACTGCTCCAGCTGCCGCCGCTGCCTACCACCCCCCTGCCGCCGCCGCTGGGGCAGCAATACCCGGACCCACCAGGGGACAGCACCAGCGGCAACACCGGGACGGGACCTAGCGAGAGCTCCGAAGCGGGTGCCGCCGCCGCCGCCACCGCCGCCGGACCTGACAACAGCGCGCCGCAGGGCGTGCTCACCTGCGTGCGCAGTGGGAGGTGAAAATAGGGGAGCGGCCGTACGGCGGAGAGTTACGGAGAGGAAAAACATGAAAGATGCTGGAATGAAAGATGGGGCGGAAATAGGTCATATGCCGCGTTATCCCGTAGGCCTGACCCGGTGACCTGACCTCCCCTAACACACCTAAAGCTCTACGCCGGCGCAGCCATTTTACGCAGCATCAGGTAGGAGGACACGGACAGTCCTGACAGTCAGACAGACAGACAAACAGAGCTCTTTCAGGCGCCCTCTCTTCAGAGGATGGTGGTCACGGCGTTGGAAATCATTTCGTATTCATCGCCTTACGCGAGGTGCTATCACTCTCGCTCTCGCGGGCCGCCAGGCTGGGCGGGTCTTACCTGTCGTAGGCGGGACAGCGGCAGGCTGGTCCATGTGCTGGGGGCCGCCGCCGCCGCCGCCGCCGCCGCCGCCGCCGCCGCGACCGCTTCTGTGAGCTGCACAGACTGCAGCGACTGCGACTGCTGCTGCTGCTGCTGAAGGGCCTGGGGCTGACGCTGCTGCTGCTGCTGTTGTTGTTGTTGTTGTTGTTGCCCCAGCCACTGCGAATATGGAGTGGGCTGTGCAGCTACAATTGATCGAGCGATGGCGGCGTGGTGGTGATGGTGGTGGTGGTGGTGGTGCTGGCGCAGCTGAAAGCCACTCAGGGCACGACGGCATTTGGACTGCACGCCGCCGCCGCCAGCTGCCGCCGCCGCCAGCCCCGTGGCAGCTGTAGCAACAGCAGTGGCCGTCACGTGCAATGGCAATGCCGAGGACGACGATTGCCCAGCGGCAGCGGCAGCGGCGGTAACAGCGGCGGCGGCGGAGCCGCTGGCGCTGCTTTGTCGGTGATGCAGGGCGCGGGGTAACAACACCGGTAAGAGCCCCGAGATGCTCTTCAGGATCCCGGGGCCTGCGGGGGTACTTCGACCGCTGCTCTTGCCGCTGCTGGCCCGACGTGCCAGATGCTGCGCATCGGCCGTAGCGCCGGGACTGCCGCCGCCGCCGGTGCTGCCGGCGCCAGCGCCGCCACCTCCAGTTTCGCCTAAAGAGGACGACGTGAGCCGGGCGGCCCGCACGCCGAGGAAACCTTCGAAGGAATTGGGAGGAGGAAGCCCCGCTGGTGGGGCCGCCGCCGCCTGCGGAGCCGGCGGTGGCGACGGCGGAACCGGATCCGCCCACAGTGCCTCGCCCAGCTCCGAGTCGAGCACCGGCAGCGGCCACGGTGACAGTAGACAGGCAGTGATGAGCTCCGAAGCCCAGTTCACGGCGGCGGTGGCGTCCGTGAACGCGGCCGTAATTAGCAAGTGGTGGTGGTGGTGGTGATCATTACGGCAGCGGCCGCCGCTGCCGCCACTGCAGATGCCGCCGCCGCCGCCGCCGCCGCCGCCGCGCACTAAGACTTCCGGCTCGAGGCCAATCACCGCTGAGCGCCTCGTAGCCAGGAAGCCGCCTCCCGCCCTACACAGCCGCGCCGCCTCCGTCCAGAGGGTGAGGGCGGCGTCGCGCCACACACCGTCGCCGGGACCCCCTCCCTGGAGCCCCGCGAGGGCCGGAGCCGCCGACACCGCCACCACCGCCACGGCCAGATTGCCCACAAGGGCAGCCTGTGGGTTGAGCCAGCCATGGCAGTGGCACACAGCCGCCGCAGCAGCGACTGTAAAAAAGCCATCCAATAACTTTGGGTAGATGACATCGTCATTCGAAACCCGAACGAAAACCCTAGTCCTAGTTGTGACGAACACTGTAGGGTTCTGGTAAAATCGGGTGGCTCTGCTGCGACCTTCAGCGCCCCAACGTCCGACGATACGACACAGCACATCCTGCAGTGCGGCCCCACCCCCCGGGGCGGCGTATTCGTAATAATTCACTTTGAAGAACCCAATTTACTGCTTATCTGCACTCGGGTGCTGTCCCTCACCCCACCCCCATGTCCCCGCTCTTTCACCTGCACACCCCCCGACAAGGGATCCAGCTTGAGGCGCGCAGTGGGAGGCGGCAGCAGCGCCCACCGCAGCGCTTGACCAGGAGTGGCCGCTTGATAGACCTCCAGGGAAGGTAGCTGCTCGTCCAGCCGTACACAGCCGCCGTACCAAAACACCGTCACGCAGGGCCGAGCAGAAGCTGACCCCGCCACGGTGCTATCTCCCCCGCCGTCGCCGCCACCGCCACCGCCGCTGCCGCCACCGCCATGGCGACCGCCGCAGCAGACACACGCCCTGCAAGCCGGATAACAACGACGAGCCAAGGTATTGCGGCAATGGCCGCTGCAGGGATCGATCAGATGGACGCATTGCGGCACGCGACTGAGGAATGGTATTGAAGGCCATTCCATGTCGTACTGCTCCAGAGTTGGGCCGGTGATAAGTGCGTGGCTGCTTTCGGAGAGCAGTACCATGCCGGCGGCGGCGGCGCCGCCAACGGTTCGCGCGATGGCGGCAGGTCGGCCGGTGTAGGTGACCCGCGCCATGCGGCTGTTGTACGTCACCTCAACGGCATGATCGACGCCGCTGGCACAACCCATCCGTACACGCAGCCCCCGGAACAGCAGGCGGTCCCGCAACGTCACAACGGCTCCAGCCGCCGCCGCCGCCAGGCTGTTTTCACGCTCGGCAGCCGCCATGCCCAACACGATATGCGGTACATTATCTGGATCTTGATCGTTATCCGGCGTAGAACACAGGATCGCGTTTGGATCTATATCCGAATCCAAGCTGCTCCGCGCACCGGCGGCTGCGGTGTCGCCGCCGCCGCCGCCGCCGCCGCCGCCGCTGCCAGGTGGTCCTGCACTGGCGCTGGCGGTGAAGTCCCGATAGGGGAGCACCGTTCCTGTAGTGGAGAGGAGGTCAGGGAAATTGGAGATATGCTCGTGCGGTACGGCAGATCCCAGAGCAGCGTCCGCGGACGCAGTCGCTGCTACCGCCGCTGCGGAAGGCATGCGGCTAGCACACTCCTCCACAGACCCTCCCGTTCCCGCCGCCGCCGCCGCCGCCAGTGCCGCCAGTGCCGCCGCTGGCGACCCAGCAGCCCCTGCAACACCGCCGCCGGTGCCGTCGATGACTCCGCCACCGCCAGCGGCACTCTCTGTCCCCAGCGCAAAGCGCAGCGGTGCGCCGCTCTGATAACTCATGAACTGCCAAACGGAATGGGGCTCCTGCCTGTATGTATGTACGTGTATGTACGTGTGTACGCATGCATACATGCATGTATGTAGGGGGCGGTACCGGTGCCGGTGTAGGGTCAGAGTCGGTTCGGTATCGGGTCAGAGATAACTGTTACCGCCAGCCGCCTTGTGCAAAAGAAGAGTGCATGAATGCATGTGTGAAACAGGGGGGTATATCTTCACCCGTGGCAGCTACCCTCCGAAACCCTGCCTTCCCCGGTATTTCGAGGCACCCTCATCCAGTCACCCAGTCAACTTCTCAGTGGATCGCTCAGGTTCCGCACCCACCACTAGCAACCAACGGATTCTGCCGAGTCGACAGCGGCCCAACTCCATTCCTGGTCGGCTCGCAGGTTAACTTTATCCCAGGTCACCACCGTCCGTTAACTAAAGGCGAAATACCTAGGATTTTTACCCGCAATACCCGCATTACCCGCAATACCCGGCGCAATACCCGGAATCGAGACCCTGACAGGTCTCGATCCCGGGATCTCCCCGGGGCAATGGTCGCGCATTACTAGTAGTGCCTAACCTATGTTGTATGCATGTATGTATGTATGCATGTATGTATGTATGCATGTATGTATGTATGTGGACCCATTACAACGGATGTCTGCCACACAGCCACACAGCCACACAGCCTGGTGCCCGGCGCACACGGAATTCTCCGGTTCTCAGCTTTGGAAGCTGAACGGAGGTGGAGGAGGAGGAGGAGAACAACAAGCTTGACGTTCACCCTTAAAATGACGACATAAAATCAACAACGAAACAAGGGCAAGCTTATGTGCACATGTGTGCATGCGTTTAACTGAGGCCATGACGAGTCCTTACCCCTCCCCACCAAATGAGACCCATATCCGCAGCACACTTCCTGCGCACCTCCCCGCTCCCCCCTAGCTTGGGCAGACATGAATGACGATTACCTGCTGAAGCGCAGCGGAGGCGCGTGAGTAGGATTCCTGGTACCTGGGCCGCCGCTGTCGCCGCTGCTACCCCTGCTGCCGCCTCCGCCTCCACCTCCTCCGCCGCCTCCACCTCCCCCGCCGCCTCCACCTCCCCCGCCGCCTCCACCTCCCCCGCCGCCGCCGCCATGTGTGCTGTACGCCGCCAGGGAGCTCAGCAACTCCTCCACGAAGACGACTGCAGGCTCCGGAGCCGCCCTCGGGCGCGAGGGGGGGCCCGATGTCCTGGCAATCCTAGCTGGAACGGACGGTGAAGAGGCGGGGGGATTCCGGTGCGAGGTACGACAGCCTGTGGGTGTTGGAACCGTCTTTGATCGATGCGCTGCCGTCAACGCGGCCGCTGGCAACGCCACCGCCGCCGTCAGCGCCTTCGACATTAAGGAAGCATGTGCTGTCGCGACGGCGGCGGCGGCCGGGGCTAGGGGGCCAACCACGTGCACACAAGGCTCTGAAGCAGGTCGATAGTGGGTGGCGGAGGTAAGGACCGCCGTCGTGGCCGCCGCCGCGGCCGTGGCCGCTGCGGCAACGGTATCGTTTGTGGTTGTGGCGGCGGCGTTGATAACGGGGCCAGCGACAGCTGCATCAGGACCGGCGGCAGTGGAGCGGCCGCCGCGGCCGGGCTGGTGCCGTACCAGGAAGCTGCGCGGCATGCCGCTCCAGAAGGACACGACGCTGCTGCCGCCGCCGCCGCCGCTGCCGCTCAGCCGCCCGGGCTGCTGCGGCTGCTGCTGTCGCACAATGCGCCCATTCTGTTCAGCTGCAGTGGTGGAAACGGACGCGCCGCCAACGCCGCCGGCGGCGCCGCCGCCCGGGAGGTCCGGGTCGGACGTATCCGCCTCCGAGTCGCTGATGGCCCTCAACCAGCCCGCGGATGACGGTGAGGGCCCTGTTACAGTATCCCCCCAGCTTGCGAACGGAGAGGCGCCTCCGAAACCAACCCCAACCCCGCCCATCCCCATTCCCAGCCCAGACGCAGACCTCCCTGGATTGCCGCTACTGCCCTGGCGGATGATGAGCGCTGGTGACGGAGCCGATGAGAGCGGCGGCGCACAGGGGGCCACCGCGCGGTGCGGAGACGGCGGGCAGGTAGCCATTCGCGGCGGCGGAGGTGGTGCTGCCGCCGCCGCCGCCGCCGCCGCCGTGAAAGACGAAGACGAAGCTTTGTTGTAGATTCCAGGGGAGTTTGTGAGGCGCTGCAGCAGTGTCGCTGTCTTGCGGCCCCGGGATCCCTCGCGGGAGGAGCCCCGGTGGTGGTGAGGCCCACTCCTTGCCGCCGCCGCCTCCGCCGCCGCCTCTGCGGGGTCCCACACCCACACCGGCTGACACGGTGGCTCCTGAGGACATCGGCAACGTCGGGTTTCGGAGCAAGGACACAAGGATCACTATCACTATCACTATCACCATCACCATTTTACCGATACTTCCATCCTCAATTTTCTCCCCGAGGCCGATCCAACCTTCCCCGCCTCCGGGTCCCCCACCTGCAGCAGCCTCTCCGGCCAGTCCACGTGCAGCAGCTCCTCCTGCGCCGTCAGACAGAACATCAGCGCGGCCTGGGCGGTGTGGAAGGCCAACACGAAGGAGTCACCCTCCTGACAGGGGGGGAGGGGGGAGGGGGGAGGGGGGGAGGGCGGGAGGAAGGGGGAGGCCGACACAGGAAGAAGGTGAGGTAGTCATATGCGAGGAACTCAAAAGATAAGCTCCAAATTCCGAAACTGCCTAGGGATGAAGTCATTGACCCGTGGCGGGGTGAGGTGAGGTGGGGTGGGGTGAGGGGGGTGAGGGGTGGGGTGGGGTGGGGTGGGGTGGGGTGGGGTGGGGTGGGGTGGGGTGGGGTGGGGTGAGGTTTCTGATCCGGAAACAAATTCTGCATCACCTGAGGTGAGGTGCAGAAGGCCGCGCGAGGAGGGCAGGCAGCACGTTCAAGGAACAGGGAAAAGCGTTTTTTTACAACTCACCGTGGCCGACTCGTACCCGCCATACTCCGTGGCGCAATGACGCAGACATGCGTTATGTAGCCGCAGCGCACAATCCATGAGCTCCGAATCCAACCGCTCCCAAAGCAGCGTGGAGTCCTGGACAGATGTACATACATACATACATACATACATACATACATACATACATACATACATACATACATACATACATACATACATACATACATACATACATACAAGCGAACAGATGCCAGATGGACGGACATACAGACGTACAGACATACAGACGGATGTACGAACCTGCAGATAGCGAGGCAGGACGAACATGCGGGTCTACATCTGTACAGGCAAACGAGCGCCATGCAGACCGACCGACAGACAGACAGACAGACAAGCGGCTTCCCCCCACCAGTCGTCGGCTACCCCGCCACCACTCGCCCACCCCTCCTCCCCCCCGGCAGCTGACCTGGATGTCAGTGACACACAAAGTCGTGTGAGGCCCGGGACCCGGGGGGGTGATGCGGCGAATACGACTCAGCAGCCGCAGCCGATGTCGCCGAAGAAACCAAACCACCCCCACCATCGCCGCCGCCAGCACCGCCGCCGCCACCAGCGACAATGCCAGCGCCTCCCCCCACGCCACACCCCCACCCCCACGCCCCCCGCCGCCACCTCCACCGCCGCCAGGCTCGTCCATACTGTCTTCCTCGTGCGGGGCATGCCCGATGGACGCCAAGTACGACATCAATAGCGCAGTACGATTGCTGCCCGCCAGCAAGGCGTCGTACATGGCCTTGGTTTTCTTCCGCACCTCTGCCGCCGTCGTGTTTTGGGCCCCCAGCAAGACGCCAGCCAGCCAGGTGACGGAGGTGAGATTTGTCCCCCCCCGGGAACGAATATCAGTTGCGATATTTTCCGACCGCAGAGAGGCAGCGGCGGCGTCCAGAAAGCGCTCCAGGTCGGCATCGTCGTAGCCGTACGACCGCCAACGGTTTCGGTTAGCTGGATCGAGGTGTTCAACGCGGGTAGGTCCACTACCATGACTGGGACTCGCCACAAGCTCCCAGCTGTTGCCGGGGCCGATGGCCTGTGGTCATTGGGGTTGTGACACGGGGGGGGAGATGTGTTTCGGCGGGGGGAAATGGGCGGCGGCGGCGGTTTCCTGTCGCCGTGCGGTGGGCGTGCTGGTGTGGGGGGGGCCGGGGGTGGCGGGGTCAGTCATCTTGTACGGTGTACCTCCGCCTGCCGTACATGCTTATAACCTTCCTTCCGCAGCTGCTCTGCTTTTTCATAAAGCCAACTCCAAACGTCATATCACGCATATGCTGGTGGGGAGTCATTAGTTTCAGCTTTTCCCCCACGGAGGCGCATCGAAATTCGTTACCTCCAGCCAGTATCCCCTCGGCACACATTACCCACCGACCAAGTTATTCATGTACGCAAAACCATCCAGGTACTTACCATACGGTCAATAGCATCATACCATTATGTCAGTCCATTCATCCATTACTAGAATAACTCCGCCTATACCCTTCCCTATAAGTCCTGAACCAGCAGCACGAGGAGAACCAAGGTAAATTGCACCGCCAGGCCATTTGCGACTTAGGGTTGCGCACTTCTCCCCCCTCCCCGCCTTAGACACACAGGCACACACGAACCTGCGACAGCAAGTAGTACGTGGCGAGCTGCTCGCTCTCGCTGGCTCGACTATTGATGGAAGCCGTGAAGCCGATGAAGGCGGCAAACGGCACCGTGTTCACGTAGTAGTACGTGGCCCCAGCAGCGCCACCTGCGTCGGCCGGGTGTGCTGCGGCTCCGGCGGCCATAGCCGCCGCCGCCGCAGCCGGCCCCGTCGTCGAGGTTACCTTCGTTGTCGTATTACTCGTCGCCGTACCGGTGTACGGCACGGCGTAAGGGCAGCGGTCGGCGTCGCAGGGCACCAGCTCGTCTGCTGCCCAGTCTAATACCAAATGGCTGCCTGGGAGTACGGCAACGCCGATTCGGCCCCTAAGGTTGAAAGCTTTCGAGGACAGGGAAGCCGGAGACCCGCTGCTACTGCTGCTACTACCAGTACTGCTACTACTGTTATTGCTGCTATTACTGCTATTACTGCTGGTACTGCTAAATGCAGTTAATGTAAGGTTGGTGGTGGCCGCAGCGGCGGTGGTGGTGGTCTTCTTGGCAGCAGCAGCAGCAGCAGCTGGTGATTCAGCGCTGTCCACTTTAAACTGGTTGGGTCCCGTGATGGCCATTGCGCAGCGGCCCTGAGGGTGTTGGACACAAGGAGGAGCACAAGAGCACAACAAGGGGGGATAAGAGTGACGCGTGGGGGTGGGCGGGAAAACGAAAACACGGCGGAACGAGGAAATAACGACAGCCAAAGTAAAACTGAGACAGACAGCCACCGATGGCATCCAGAGCACCAACTGGGCCCCCTGCGGCGGCCCCCCCCGGGGGAAAGAGAGGACTCTGAGCGGAGTGGGGGCGAGCCGGGGCGAGAGGGGCCCAGCCATAACGGGTATCACGCAACCAGCCTCACTACCCCCCCTCGCAGGTGCCGCCTCCCTCAACTACCCCCGCCCCCACCCCACCCGTTCCGTCTTCCACACCCACCCTAACCTCCAACTATCTCTACTCCCAACCACCCACACCCGCCCTTTGGACACCAGCAACATTGCAAAATTCCAATTGCAAATATTGCAACCCCAATAATTGCAATGATCATCATGGGGTATGATTAGGGTTGGAAGTCATCTAAACCTAAACTTCTAAACTTAGATGAGAAACTTTAGAAACTAAACTGAGATATTAGATGGAATTTTTTGGCGCCTTAGTTGTACGGCAGCTCCGAAACCTTAGGAGCGACCTTAGGTAGTCCTGAGAAACTTTAGATGAAGCTGTCTGAGTGGGGCACGCTCGCCCTAATGGGCGTCCCCGACGACTGCAAGGAGCACATGGAGGTACTGACCGCACGCAAGACTGTGGAGAGCAAGGCCGGCAAGTCCACCACAGTGTCAGTGCAGATCGGGCATTGAAGCGCGGCTAATGTTCTGGTCGCAGCACATGTCCGTGCAGTACCCAGCACTGGCAAACGTGGCGGACCGTGTACTGCGCATGCACACGACCACCTGCGCTGCTGAGCGCAACTGGTCGCTGTGGGGCAACATTTTCAGCAAGGCTCGCAACCGCCTGTCGCAGGAGCGGGCGGAGAAGCTCATCTACATTCGCCAGAACGACGACTCCAACAAGGGCACGGGCAGCCGCCTGTCGGACGAGGAGGTGGTGATGACTCTGCTGGCTGCAGAGGATGAGAAGAGCGCGTGTGTGTAATGGGCGGCGGGGTACATCGACTGGCACGAGGTGCCTGGTGTCGTGGTGTGCAGTTCAGCAGTTTGCCAATCGCTGTGTTCTTTGGAGCGTTTAGGGGCTTGCTACTTGCTATGTAATGCTCGTTTCCATGGGTGTGCAGTGGCTTGCAGGCGGTGGTGTCCCGTGGGTCCCTTGCCCCGTGTGCCAACTGAGCACCTTTCGCTGCGCACACTCAACGCAGCGCAAAACTATTTAATTATCGTTAATAAGCAGCAAATGGAGATTCTAATTCCTAAGTTTCAGCCTAAACGACCCTTCCGCCAGAAAGTAGCCGAAACCTTAGTTGAGATTTCTAAACTTCTCAACTAAACCTAATTAGTTTCTAAGGAAGTTTAGTTGAGATAAAATTTCCATCGAAGGAAGTTAAAAACCCTAGGTATGATCGATTGATCCTTCGTGTACTCCTGCACACGCACGGATGCTCTCGCCCCCCCCCTGCAGCACCCCGTCCCTGCTACCTGTCCGAATAGCGGCATGTAGGTGCAGTCGCGGCTTCCGGCGGCCCGCCTGTCGGCCGCGGGTGGCGCGAAGGCACCCAGCTGCTCGGCCAGCTGCAGCGCCGCCAGCCAGGCCGCCGTGTCGACCACCGCCTTGCCGGTGGAGGGCTGCATGAAGAGCCCGCTGCTGTGGCCCCCCGACTGAACCAGACTGCGAGGAAGGGACGGGGGAAGAGGGGGAGGGGAAGGAGGGGGAGGGGGCGGAGGTGGAGGGGGCGGAGGTGGAGGAGGGACGAGCCACTGAAGGTTTCATGCTGAGTACGAAAGGCGTCGATATTATCAGGGAGGGTGTCTCACTGGAGACCATATAATGGTCTTGAAGAGCATGCAGGCGGTCTTCGTCCCGCATGACGATAGGTGAAGAACCGGCCGGCGGTGGGTGTGACGGCCCGCCGGGACGGGGGGGACAGACGAACCACGAACGAGTGAAGCTGCTGCTGCCAAGGAAAGAGAAGCAGAACTGACCAGTGGGGGGGAAGGAGTCACATGCTGCTGCTGCTGATGATGATGACGATGGTGACGATGACGATGGTGACGCAAAGAGGGCAAAGAATCCACTAGCCCAGGGTACCCAACTGCTGTGTAGGAGCCCAAGGGTGAGAGAGGGACTCACGCCCTGCGCCCTGCGCCCGCGGCTACCCCCCCCCCCGCCCAGCCACACACCACTCGCCCGCACCCCCCGCACCCCCCCAGCCCTACCTGGCCAGTATCGCCAGCACCGGCAAACCCGCAGAGACACAGTCCCTGGACTGCCACAAGCAGATGCCGTAGTCATTGGCCTGGCCATCACCGTCCAGATCGGAGCCGTTGAAGTGCGCGGCGGTCTCCAGGGCCTCCTGCCATGTCCGCGGCGGTTGCCGACCCGCCGCCTCGAACAGGTCCGTTCGGTAGTAGAGCAGGGTGACGAAGCCGGACACCGGAATGGACGTAACGACGCCGCCGAACACCGCCGCGAATTCGCTTAGCGTGAAACAAAAGGAGGGATGCGAAGGAGGGGTGAGGGAGGGGACGAAAACAACGAAAGAGATGGCTGATGTGAGAGAGGAGGCGGGTGAGGAGAGCGGGAAGCACGCTAAGCATTCCAAGGGGTAGAGCTGGAACGGACGGATATGCCCTGGCATAGGTGGGTATATATGTATGTAGGTATGTAGGTATGCAGATATGTCGGAATGAAGCCCACGCACGTGGTATGCGCATTCCCCGCTGCTACCGACTGCCACACGACTACTGCCACACGACTACTGCCACTACTTGCCATTGTTACCACACGTATTTCCCCCCACACACATCATCCCACCGCACAGCTGCCGCAGTGAGATCCTGTAAGGCCCCTCCTCCTCCTCCCCTTCCCTCCTCCTCCTCGTGCTTCGTCTTCCCCCACCTCTCCCTCCTCCGTCCTCCCCCTCCTCCCCCTTCCCTCTCCTCCTCCCC